GGCATCGCCCAAGTGATGATGCCTGTGTGGCTCTGACATCAGCACTGGGATGCCACGTCGCAGTGTGAAGTCATCACTGCCGTGATGTTGTCACCGCTGTGATGTCACCACCCCAGTGTGATGTCATCACATCCACAATGTGATTGTCCCAGTGTGATGTCATCACCCAGTGATGCAATAGTGAGCTAGCTCATGATGAGGGAAGCAGGGATTGGCCACTGGGGATCGGAAAAGCCTCTCAAGAATGGGATGCCACGTCGCAGTGTGAAGTCATCACTGCCGTGATGTTGTCACCGCTGTGATGTCACCACCCCAGTGTGATGTCATCACATCCACAATGTGATTGTCCCAGTGTGATGTCATCACCCAGTGATGCAATAGTGAGCTAGCTCATGATGAGGGAAGCAGGGATTGGCCACTGGGGATCGGAAAAGCCTCTCAAGAACGAATTCTTGAAAGTATTTGTTAGCAATGACCTGGAGGCCAATACGCAACCCCGCTGTGGCAGGGACCCAGCGCTGGCGGAGGGGGATTAATGCTGAGAGGAGGGGAGGGACACAAAGCTACCGGGCTCCTCGGGAAGCTGGACCCATTCACAGAATGTAACCCGAGGGGACATGGGTGCTCAGCAGAAAAATGGAATCTCAGTGAGGGGCCCAGCCCTTAGCTAACGACACAAAACAGCTCAGACAGGAGCCTGGTCCGAGGTCCCACACGGCCACCTCGCTCTGTGCTCTGTTGAGTGAGGCTTTCTCCACCCACGATTCCCATTCCCTTCTGACTCGCCGTGTCCTCGCTTTCTACGCACGGCTTTGCCGGGGCAGGAGCCAACGCGTCCAACCCCTGAGCTTTGCCAAGACTTCCGAAGAGGCCAAGCCAGGCTGAGCGGTGGAACTGGGCAGGCAGCTGGGTGGATGCCTCTCTGTCCAGGAGGAGGCTGAGTCACTCACCTGGCTCCAGGCAAGATTCTCAGACTAAAGGGCTTGCAGTGAGTTTCCGGCATCTATATTTAGGCACCTAAATAAGTAGCCTGGGACTCCAACATGAGTGGGGGCAGAGCCTCGTGGAAAGCTAATTTGCTCCCCTGTCTCCCAGAGGCTTGGGCTGGTAAATACATTCCAGACCCTTAGGGGCTTATCTGGGCCCCAGAGAAGTGCCTTACACAGATAAAGGCCGGGTGAGTGGGACTAGGGGTAGGTGGGTAGATGATGCATGTGGGTATGGGGGTAAATGGATGGTGTGTCAGTATGGGGGTGGATACATAGACCTCTGGGTGGGTGGGTACAGCAATAGAGAGATGATGGGGGGTATGATGGTTGATAGATTAGATAGTGTGGTGGGTGGGTATGAGGTTAGATACATGATGGGTAAATGAGTGAATGGATCTGGGGTACGTAGATGGAGCCCTGCAACTCTGCGGATGTCTGTGTGGAAATCTGCAGCTCATTTTTAAGCCTACTGACGCGGTTACAATGGGTGTGTCTAGACTACAGGGTTTTTTCGAAAAAACTTCCCCTGCATCTAGACTGCTGCCATGTTCTTTCGAAAGTAAATCGAAAGAATGCGGCAGTTTTTTCGACCACAGAAAACCTCGTTTTACGAGGAAGAACGCCTTTTTTCAAAAGTGCTCCTTCGAAAAAAAGGCACTATGTAGTGCAAACTGTGCTTTTTCGAAAGAGAGCATCCAGACTGCCTGGGTGCTCTCTTTCGAAAAAGCAGGTTGCTTTATCGAAAGTACTGGTTGTAGTCTAGACGCTCGTTTTTGAAAGAGGCTTGCAGTCTAGATGTAGCCAAATTGTGCATCCACTCAGGTATTTATAGATAGATAGATTAGATAGCTCGGGTGATTATGCAGATAGACAGATTACATAGCTTGGGAGGCTATGTAGATTAGGTAGTTTGGGTGGCTATGCAGATAGATAGATTAGGTACCTTGGGTGGTATGAGACCGATAAACATGTGGGTGGTTATAGAGAGAGATTGGAAAGTGGGTGGGTATGAGTAGGTATGTGGGAATAGGGATAGATGGTGGAGGGGTTAGGATGGCAATAGATGATGGGGGGGTGGGAATGGGATAGATGATGGAGGTGGGGATAGGATAGATGATGGAGGTGGGGATAGGATAGATGATGGAGGTGGGGATAGGATAGATGATGGAGGTGGGGATAGGATAGATGATGGAGGTGGGGATAGGATAGATGATGGAGGTGGGGATAGGATAGATGATGGAGGTGGGGATAGGATAGATGATGGAGGTGGGGATAGGATAGATGATGGAGGTGGGGATAGGATAGATGATGGAGGTGGGGATAGGATAGATGATGGAGGTGGGGATAGGATAGATGATGGAGGTGGGGATAGGATAGATGATGGAGGTGGGGATAGGATAGATGATGGAGGTGGGGATAGGATAGATGATGGAGGTGGGGATAGGATAGATGATGGAGGTGGGGATAGGATAGATGATGGAGGTGGGAAGCGTCCCACCCTGCCCCTCCCCAGCTACATATTTTGTTAGTCTTTAAGGTGCTACTGGACTATTTGTTGTTTTTTAAGGGTTGGGTTCTTTTTGGTGGATGTTGTTATTCATCCATTAAACGGACTTAATTTGGTTTAGTTTAATTCACAGTTCAGCTAAACGGAATTAAAGCCACTTCAGTTCTGCAGAACAAGCATCCACATGGGGGTTAAATACGTTTACCCCAAATTCAATTTAGTTGGTTCGGGTTGGCTTTCCTAGAGGTCCCAGTGCAGACAAACCTAATTTCAAAGACACCACAAGGGATGCCTCCTTTTCTTCAGTCTCAAAACCACTCCCAATAAATACCAGCTAGTCCAAACAAACATCCGCCTACCTTCTACCCCTCAGGCTGAGTAGAGCGTCAGAGCTCTGCTACACCTCCGGGTGGGTGAGTCAGAGGTTGCTAGCCCTTACCGGTTGGAGCTCATTCTTCACCATGGGCTGTCTGCTTCTTCGTCATCGCTTGCATAAAATTGTCCTCCGAGTCTCGGTAGCATGCCGGCCTGACGTCCGATTCTTGCCACTTTGCTTCCTGGGACCCAGCCTGGTACCCGTGACCAGCCTGGTGCTGATTCTGCTGGGCTGCCCTGCGTGGGCAGCTGGCATGCTGCCCTGGGCCCTCTTTTGCACCAGAACCCTGGCGTTGGCCGTAGGTGGCTGTGTCTTTACATGAGCAGGGTGACCAGATGTCCTGATTTGAGAGGGACAGCTCCGATATTCAGGGCTTTGTCTTATACAGGTGCCTCTAACCCCCAGCCCCATCCTGATTTTTCCCACTTGATATTTGGTCACCCTGGACTCCCTCCCGGCCTTTCCTACAGCCCTTTACAGGGGATACCAGTGTTCCCTGTTACCTGGGTGCTTGTGCAGCTGCTCAGGAGAGATTCCAATCCACCCAGCTGATTAGCTGAGTGCCCACAGCTAAGTTTGTGTTTCTGCTGGTGGTGCACATGCCTCGGTGTACAGAAAAAAATTATTCCGCACATGGGTGGAAAAGATTGGAGGGAACATTGCCTCAACTCCCAGCCTGAGTCCTGATTTTTCCCATTTGATATCTGGCCTCCCTGGGCTCCCTCCTGGCCTTTCCTACAGTACTTTATGGGGGGCACTGACCACAGGTTTTGTGAGCGGGCCTGGGAGTGGGGGTGCTCCCTACACTCACCCAGAGGGGCCAATTCACCTCTCAGGCTGCAAGCTGGGGGGATGTCCACACCAAGAAGGGAAACTGAGCTATGCAGGGACAGAAGGGGCTTCTGTAAACCAGGGAACTGATAGCAGAAGAGCCACTTAGGGGGTTTCAGATGGAAGAGGAAGGGTGGCAAACACAAGCCAGGCGTAGGCAAGATAACAAGTTGTCCTGGGGAGAGGCAGGAAGGTTTGGGGAACACAAACCTTGAGTGCTGGAGACTGGGCACCGAGTGCTTGAGTGCTGGAGAACGGGGAGCACTCTTGTGACGTGGTGCTGCCAGCAGCCGCTTCAGGAGCAAGAGAAAGGCTCAAGACGGCGGCGTGGGGCTGGCAGAGCGAATCCCCGCAGCAGCCAGCAGGGGGCGTCCCTTGCCGGGGGTGGCAAAGCCTGTGACGATGCCGTTGTTCAGTATTTCCGAGTTCTCCGTGTCTTGCTCTTTGCCTCAGCTCTGGGACGCTTCTCTGTGCGCCAGGCCTGGGTAAGACCCGGGGTAGGTATTGGTCAAGCACAGTGGTTTTCCCTCAGGCAACAGGCCCTCCTAAGCATTATCACCACTGCCAAAGCGGGAGCGTTTTCACACAGCAGCTGTCTCAGTGTGTTATAGACTCACAGAAACACGGAACTGGAAGGGATCTCAAGAGGTCATCGAGTCCAGTCCCCTGCCCTCACGGCAGGGCCAAGCACCGGCTAGAGCCGTGGTCGCCAACCAGTAGATCGTGAGCTACCGGTAGATCTCAGGGGCTCTAAGAGTAGCTCTTGAGCCCTCTCTGAACTGCGCACCTGCGCAGGACATTTACATTAGATTTCCTCATTTGAGGAGCAGCTACTCACCGAGCAACAACACAGGTGAGTAGCTGCAAGGAATGGTGGGAGCTGGGAGGTCGGGAGGGCTGAAACACCCCAGCAAGCTGACTGTGGCTGAAAGAGGCTGCCCCACGCTCCAGCTGATCGGCAGCTTCTCCTCTGCCCCTGCCCACGTGGAGCTTGGGGCACCCTGGCTGAGCACCATGGCCAACTGGCCGGGCAGCCACTTCTCTTCCCTCCAGCCCGGCTGCCCTGTGCTCAGCCCAGAGAGGCTGCGTCTAGCTCCCAAGCTGAGCGCAGGATCACAGATGCCCATCTGATGAACTGTATACGACTAGCAATCTCAGACTACAACCCAGACTTCAAGACACTGGCAGACACTGTTCAGTCACAGGTGTCACACTGAGACTTTGTTATTGGAAAAAAAAAAATATAATTATCAATACTGGATTTTAGATTTACAAAATAGCAGAGAAGAAAATGTAGAATTGTAAATGCTTCATTTGACATTTAAATAGCATGAATTAAAAACAGACCGTTTATTTCATAACTATAAACATGTGATTTTAGTTTTATATAGTGCATAATTTAAAAATAAACTGTTTAACAGAGTGTATAAGGGCTGGGGATAGCAAGTGATGGACAGGAGACTAGAGAGGGCGGGGCTTCAAGGAAGGGGCGGGGCTTCAAGGAAGGGGCGGGGCGGTAGATCTTCGCCTGTTCTGAGACTTAAAAAGTGATCTTGGGTGTAAAAAGTTTGGAGACCACTGGTCTAGAGCATCCCTGACAGGTGTCTGACTAACCTGCTCTTAACTATCTCCAGTGATGGAGATTCCACAACCTCCCCAGGCAATTTATTCCAGTGTTTAACCACCCTGAAAGGAAGTTTTTCCTGATGTCCAACCTCAACCTCCCTTGCTGCAGTTTAAGCCCATTGATTCTTATCTTGTCCTCAGAGGCCAGAGAGAACAATTTTTCTCCCTCCTCCTTGTAACGCCTTTTTCAGTACTTGAAAGCTGCTCTCACAGCCCCTCTCAGTCTTCTCTTTTCCAGACTGAACAAACCCAATTCTTCCACCCACACACCTGTACAGCTCGTGTTTTTTAGACCTTTAATCACTTTTTGTTGCTTTTCACTGGACTTTCTATAACCCTCCAGAACCAATGCCTCTCACTAGATGCAGTAAAATGGCTGCTTTTATGGCCTCTCCTTTTTTTTGTTTTGTTTGTTTGTTTGATTAAGCTGCTCCTGAGCTTTTAATAGAGATGTGGAAGATTTGTCTCCATCTCCTCTGGTCCCCAGGAGGTAGCCAGGGAAGGACAAAAGAGGGAGAGACTTGTGACCCTCCATTGCTTGAGTTTCTAATGCTTTTAACTCATTTACGTCCATGTCCTCGTGGTGGCTCAATGCTCTGGCTCTTGTGGACCAGCGAGTATTCTGTCTTGTCTGGTGTTAGCAGTTTGCACCAGTTACTGATCTGCTGGGCCCCCTGGCTCCATGTAGAAAGTGCTTTTCACCAGGAGGTTAGACAGGTGGAGGCTGGGTATGGGGCCAGATTAGTGGCTGGGTCAGTATGGGGCTGGATAGATGGATGATGATAGATAATTGGATGGATGGATTGGTGGGGTGTATGGGGATGGATTGGTGGATAGGGTGGATGGATGGATGGGGTGCATGGGGATGGATGGATGGATGGATGGGGTGTATGGGGATGGCTGGATGGGATGGATGGGGGCAGATGGATGGATGGATGGATGGATGGATGGGGTATACGGGGATGGATGGATGGATGGATGGGGTGTATGGGGATGGCTGGATGGGATGGATGGGGGCAGATGGATGGATGGATGGATGGATGGATGGGGTATACGGGGATGGATGGATGGATGGATGGGGTGTATGGGGATGGCTGGATGGGATGGATGGGGGCAGATGGATGGATGGATGGATGGATGGATGGGGTGTATGGGGGCGGATGGATGGACAGATGGATGAATGGGGTATATGGGGATGGATGGATGGGGTGTATGGGGATGGCTGGATGGGATGGATGGGGGCAGATGGATGGATGGGGTGTATGAGATGGGTAGATGGATGGGATGTATGGATGAGAATGGATGGATGGAAAGCTGGAACTGTCTTCCTTGTAAACCAGCTTGAGACCAGAGATATAACATTTAAACCAGGACTCTCTTTAAGGGCCAAGATGGTTCCTACAGACTGGGAGCAATGAGTAGGCAGGCTTGGAGTGGTGTCTGCGTGAATATCCCCTGGTAATTATGCATGACTAATTTTAAAGAGGTAGGACCACAATACAGTGCAGAAATGGGCTCTTGGGACGGTGAGCTGGAATGAACTTCCTGGGAGAGGGCATGGCAATTCAACTGTGGGATTTTAGAGAGACTGATTTGACCCCAAGGAATCTGTGAACAATTACATAGCTCCAGGAATAAAGCATGTAGTAAGTGTGTCTGCCTTCTCACATACTCATAATTCAAGAACCAGGAGTCCCTCAGTAAGAGTGAAAGCGATGCTAAAAGGAAGTGCTCCCTTCCCCACATTAATATGTTAGCCTGTGGAACTCAATGCCACATGATGTTCTTACAACAAAAATGTTAGGACTATTTGGCTAAGGAAAGCATCCAGTCAACAGAGAGAAGAGCCCTGATTGCCTCCACACTCAGCTCTCTTGCTTCAGAGTGAAAACCAACCTCTTGTCCCAGGGGGGACAAGATGGGTGAGACAATATCTCTGATTGGACCAACTTCCCTGTGTGCGTGCGTGCATTTTCCTGGAATTTTGTTCTCACGCAATGGAGACTGGCCACTGGAGCTGGGGAAGCCACAGCTGCACGGTGTCTCTGCCAGGCTGTTTTTTAAGAAGAAGCCCCCCAGAGCCTGTGTTTGATGGGCCCTCTCAAAGAGTCCAGGAAGGAGGCCTGGCCATTCGCATCTGGCCGTTGGTGACCGCTCCGGAGGACCTGTGCACAGCCGATGGCTCTGGGTCTTGGAGCCCAGACACCCACTTGAAGGAGCTGTGTGTCAACATCCCTTTGGTGGCCGGAACCATCCGTTTGGCCCCGAGCCCAATACCAGGAACTTACAGACCTACTCCACCCTAGGGAGTTCAGATGCCCAGCCAAACAGGTCTGGCAGGTGCTTTGGGGAAGGGCAGGCAGGAAGGCATTTTAGCTCAGGAGGGCGTCTGCTCTTCAGAGCCTCCGGGAAAGCCAGTGAGAGGGTACAGGACACCTGTGCAGGTGACGCAGCCGCGGGAACAGAGCCGGCTCCGGGGGAGAGGACACGACATGGGGAACCGGGTCGGCAGAGATGACTTTGAGTGGGTCTATACAGATCAGCCCCATACAGAGAGAAGGAAGGAGATCCTGGGTGAGTCTGGCTTGCGTTGGTACCCACATGGCTCTTGTCTGGAAGGGGGTTGGTGCGGAGAGAGGTGGGTCAGAATCAGAAGTGAGCGGAAGGGGGAAGAGGGTCAGAACTAAGGACAAAGAGGGGGTGGGCCAGAGACAGGGAGGTTAGGACCAGAGGTGCCAGGGATAAATCAAAACCAGAGGGCTGGGAAGGAGGCAGGGAGGAAGGAGGTGCGTCAGAAGCAGGGGTGCCAGGGACAGTCTGAGATGGGTCTGAACTGGGGGGGGAGGTGGGTCAGAACAAGGGGGAACAGGGGTTCCAGGGATAGTCCAAGATGGGTCCAAACTGGGAGGGGGAGGGAGGTGGGACCAAACCAGAGGGAGCAGGGGTGTCAGGGACAGTCCAAGATGGGTCTGAACTGGGGGGGGAGGAGGGAGGTCTGAACCAGCTGGTGGTGACTGTAGAGAGGTGCCAGCAGCTCTCTCGATATGATGCCAGGTCTACATGAAAACATTAAGTCGATCCAGCTAGATTGCGGAGAGTAGTGGCAAATCCACCCCCCTCGGGGGTGTCATTAAGCCGATCCGGCTTAGGTGGGTGGGAGAGTTCTCCCATTCAGCTAGCTGCTGGCTGGTAGCTGATCTTGCGGAGAGACGGTAGCTGGGGTAGCGAGTTCCTACATGTTGTCTTCCCAGGGTGGACAAGCCCTTCTCCTGACCTTAGTTGCTGTCTGTGACTCAGCAATGGCCATGCAATTAACTCCGCGCTGGAGCTTTTTCTGTGGGGCAAATTGATTATGCGGGGGAAAGGGGGGACCATATTTCTCTAGGGCCATGGTCACCAACCAGTAGATCGCAATCTACCGGTAGATCTCAGGGACTCTAAGAGTAGCTCTTGAGCCCTCTCTGAACTGTGCGCCTGTGCAGTACATTAACATTAGATTTCCTCATTTGAGGAGCAGCTACTCACCGAGCAACAACACAGGTGAGTAGCTGCAAGGAATGGTGGGAGCTGGGAGGTCGGGAGGGCTGAAACACCCCAGCCAACTGTGGCTTTCTTTCAGCTGAAAGAGGCTGCCCGGCGGGGTTTTAAAAATGGCGGCTCCCCGCTTATGCAAATGAAGCCCGGGAAATTCAAATCCCGGGCTTCATTTGCAAGTGCAGTATGCATACATTACCCTCCTAGTTCGAACTAGGAGGGTAGTGTAGACATACCCAGCTTGACAAAGCCCTGGCCGGGTTGAGTTAGCTGGGATTGGTCCTGCCTTGGGCAGGGGCTGGACTTGATGACAATCTGAGGTCTCTTCCAGCTCTATGGTTCTATGAGTCTATGAACTGGAAGGAATCGTGAGAGCTCATCACATCTAGTTCCCTGCACTCAGGACAGGAGCAAGCACCATGTAGACCAGGGGTGGGGAACCTTTCCCAAGTGGCCTGCCAAGATTTAACCCTCCTGCCCTGGGCTCTGCCACTCTCCCAGGGTGGGGAGTGGCTCTCTCCACTGCACACCCTGCTTGATCTCCTGCCCTGAGCTCTGCTCCGGCTTTTCCTGTAGGGAAGGGAGGAGCATTGTGCGCTTCCCCGCAAGCACAGAGCTTTGGGGTTTCCCCCCACAGGAAGCTGGCGCTGGCTCCAATCTTGCGGAGGGGGGGGCGATGCTGGATCGCCAGCGTGGGCTCCCCATTGCGAGGGTGGGAAGCCTGTTCATTGCTGAAAATTATCTTGCATACCACTTACGGCACACGCCTTGCCACTGTGACGGAGCAGGCCGGGTCTGGGCACCGCTCAGGGCGAATTGCTAAAAAAACAGGGCTCCTTACAGCCCCATGCTGGAGACCTTCCCAAACAGGTCATAAACCAGTCATGCGGAGCACTTCAGCTGCCAATCCAACCAGCAAAACCCTTCACGAGCAAAACCCCTCTGGCACTGCAGCTCTCCCTGTGCCACAATCGGCGCCAGGCCTGCACACAGGTGAGAGAGTATAGAACCCAATCTCACCTACCCCAAATGGGTTCTCCTGGTCCCAAGAAACCAGCCACAGTCCCCAGTCAATTTACAGTCTGGATCTTACCATAAGATCAATCTGGGCCAATCCTTTAGCATCTAAAATCTAAGGCTACGTCTAGACGGGCATGATTTTCCGCAAATGCTTTTAACGGAAAAGTTTTTCCGTTAAAAGCATTTGCGGTGTCTAGATTGGCACTTTTTGCGGAAAAGCGTCCGTGCCAATCTAGACGCGGTTTTGTGCAAGAAAGCCCTGATCGCCATTTTCGCCATCGGTGCTTTTTTGCGCAAAACAGTTTTCAGCTGTCTACACTGGCCCTCTTGTGCAAAAACATTTCCGGAAAAGGGCTTTTGCCCGAATGGGAACGTCAAAGCATTTGCGCAAGAAGCACTGATTTCGGACAATAGAACGTCAGTGCCTTTGTGCAAAATCAAGTGGCCAGTGTAGACAGCTGGCAAGTTTTTGCGCAAAAGCAACTGCTTTTGCAGAAAAACTTGCCAGTCTAGACGCAGCCTAAAGGTTTATTACTAAAAGAAAGAAAAGTATGAGAGTAAGGTTGTTAAGAAGAATACATTACATGCATCGAATCACCAAGTTTGCAATGCAGGCTCTCAGCAGAGATGTTACAAACTGCTATCTTAAAAGTCTCTGGTGTACACCCTGAATCTGGATGGGTCCATGCTTCTTCCCAGTTCTCTGTCCCTCGCAAGGCTGTATCTGGGATCAGGAGCAGAACTGAGGAAAAGATGCCTCATGGCATTTTATATCCATGCCTGGTCTCTTCCAAGCTGGAGCAAGTCACATGGCCCAGTGACCTATCCAAATGTTCCAAGTCAACACTCATGATTCTGGCTGGTTTGCAGATTCCAGACACATTCCTCAGGTGCGTATTCACCTCTATGAAAGCCTTGCTAATTAGCATAGTCACTGACTGAACACTGCTGACCCATTGCTCTGTCTCAGACAGAGAATCTTCCAGCATCAAGACAGAGTACATATCTATAACTCCACATACAGATATTGCACAACTACATGAGTAACATACGTACAATCAGTAGAACATGAGCTTTCATTTGACATCTCACATGGCCCCCTTTGTACAGTCTTTTGGGGCAACCCCCCCCCCATGGGTGCAGCAATGATCTTTAAAATCCAATCACGTGACACACATACCATACGTTGCTGACCCCTGATCTAGACCATCCCTGATGAGTGCGAATGGGCACCCCATTGATGCAAGGATCCGCTTTTGCTTCTGCATGGCTTTGGGATGGGGAAGGGGCACTCATAGATTCTGAGAAGCAGTGAGGTTGCAAAAGGAAATGTTACTGTGCTCCACTCTCCTGGCAGTTCTCACAAACGCACAGCTGCAAGATCCACTAAGACTGTCGGGGAGCTTCTCCTGCTCCAAACCCCACATCCCCACCATGTCAGCTGATGGAGAATCCCCCCTACACTTAGCAGTATAGGCCCTATGATACACAATAGCAATTTTCTTATCCCATCCTACAGAGGGCAACATCCACATACTCTGACCTAAGCCTCATTCTCAGTCACCTCTGCTCCTGCTCTTGTGGCCTGAATGGAAAAGATTCAGGTGACTTTAAGGCCTCTTTGTGCTCCCTATATTCTTGGCTGTGCCTCTCCCCAGTGTCATTTAGAGGTAGGAGTCCAAATCAAAAGAGCTTCCGGGGCTTGATTATTTTTTCAGGGCTTCCCTAGCTGGCGGGTCCGATCATCAGCCACATGGGTCCGGTCAACCTTCGCGAATGGCTCAGAGCCAGGTTTTCTCAAAAGCCCAGCCAGCGGGGCAGCACTTTGCAGCCAGGTGTCCTATGAAGAGACGGCCACTGGGGACTTCTCACCCCACAGCGGGGTGGAGGGCATCAAAAGCAGCCGTCAGTTTTAAAGAGACCAGCCTGGCCACATGGCAGAGTCCACGCTGGGCCCAGCGGATGAAGGAAACCGAAGGACTCAGGAAACTACCCTGAGATGCCCCCTCGCGCAGTGTGTCCCCCCCAGAGCCACAGCTGAGGTTACAAATGGCGCAGCGTCCGCCCGCCAGAGCGAAGGAATTCGAAACGTGCGTTTCTTCCCATCTTACCCTGTGAGCCTTGCAGGTCCGGGCTGTGGCCTTTGGCTCCTTTTGGAGTCCGATAGAAGGGACCATTCGATGGCGTGGGAGAGGTCAGGGCAAGCCACCCAGCTCTGCAGACGGCAGGTGACACAGATGTAAAACGGGGATACAAGGTTTGCACTGGGGAGAATTTGGGCCAGCTGGTGTTTTCCACAGACATGCCCAGCCTTTATCCCATGCAGAGAAGTGCCTGGGGGAGGAGGGTGTCTTTGCACTGTGATCCAGGGATTTATGAACGCTATCAGTCGATCTCAGATTGCTTTCCAAGGGCGGCCGGTAACACAAGCCTAATTTTGTAGGGGGGGAAACTGAGGCACGGGGCCCAAGTCACTTTGACTAAGGTTGCCCGGCAGCAGAGGCTGAAGTAGATGGTAGACCCCCCAGCTCTCTTGAGTCTTACTCCCGTGCGCTATCCACTAGGCCACACTGCCCCCTTCAGCCACTACCCTCCTTGAAGGCGCTCCCTGCCGGGCACTTGGGCCCCCGGATGGTTTTAGTGGTTTGGATTGCTCGGCTGACCCTCGTGCGCCAACCCTGCCCCGCCCGAGTGGGACTGATGGCCTGTGGCAAAGCTTGATGGGGTCAGGGCAGGGTCGCTGGCACTGGGCATCGCGGCCTCCCTGGCTCTCTGCACAGGGAGTCCCACCCCAGGCGCCCGGGCCCCGTGTGAGGCGCAGGAGGGCTGGGTGCTGTTGGCACGAAGGCGGCGGCTCCTGGTGCTGCGTCTCCCAGGGCGAGGCCCCGGCGGGCTCCTGGCAACGGGCTCTGCACATGCTGAGGCAGGCTCTGCCGGTTGCCCTGGCAGCACCGTGTGTGATGCACAACAGACGCCCAGCAGCCTGGGGCCCGACCCCCCCGGCCTCGCCCCCGGGAGCC